GGAAAGAAATCATAAAAATCAGATCAGAAATAAATGAAAAAGAAATGAAGGAAACAATAGCAAAGATCAATAAAACTAAAAGCTGGTTCTTTGAGAAGATAAACAAAATAGATAAACCATTAGCCAGACTCATCAAGAAAAAAAGGGAGAAGACTCAAATCAATAGAATCAGAAATGAAAAAGGAGAAGTAACAACTGACACTGCAGAAATAAAAAAAATCATGAGGGATTACTACAAGCAACTCTATGCCAATAAAATGGACAATCTGGAAGAAATGGACAAATTCTTAGAAATGCACAAACTGCCAAGACTGAATCAGGAAGAAATAGAAAATATGAACAGACCAATCACAAACACTGAAATTGAAACTGTGATTAAAAATCTTCCAACAAACAAAAGCCCAGGACCAGATGGCTTCACAGGCGAATTCTATCAAACATTTAGAGAAGAGCTAACACCTATCCTTCTCAAACTCTTCCAAAATATAGCAGAGGGAGGAACACTCCCAAACTCATTCTACGAGGCCACCATCACCTTGATACCAAAACCAGACAAGGATGTCACAAAGAAAGAAAACTACAGGCCAATATCACTGATGAACATAGATGCAAAAATCCTCAACAAAATACGAGCAAACAGAATCCAACAGCACATTAAAAGGATCATACACCATGATCAAGTGCGGTTTATTCCAGGAATGCAAGGATTCTGCAATACATGCAAAGGATTCTTCAATGCATGCAAATCAATCAATGTGATACACCATATTAACAAATCGAAGGAGAAAAACCATATGATCATCTTTGACAAAATTCAACACCCATTTATGATAAAAACCCTGCAGAAAGTAGGTGTAGAGGGAACTTTCCTCAATATAATAAAGGCCGTATATGACAAGCCCACAGCCAACATCATCCTCAATGGCGAAAAACTGAAAGCATTTCCACTAAGGTCAGGAACAAGACAAGGTTGCCCACTCTCACCACTCTTATTCAACATAGTTTTGGAAGTTTTAGCCACAGCAATCAGAGAAGAAAAGGAAATAAAAGGAATCCAAATCGGAAAAGAAGAAGTAAAGCTGTCACTGTTTGCAGATGACATGATACTATACATAGAGAATCCTAAAGATGCTACCAGAAAACTACTAGAGCTAATCAATGAATTTGGTAAAGTAGCAGGATACAAAATTAATGCACAGAAATCTCTGGCATTCCTATATACTAATGATGAAAAATCTGAAAGTGAAATCAAGAAAACACTCCCATTTACCATTGCAACAAAAAGAATAAAATATCTAGGAATAAACCTACCTAAGGAGACAAAAGACCTGTATGCAGGACCTGTATGAATTATAAGACACTGATGAAAGAAATTAAAGATGATACATGAAGAGATATAGCATGTTCTTGGATTGGAAGAATCAACATTTTGAAAATGACTATACTACCCAAAGCAATCTACAGATTCAATGCAATCTCTATCACTACCACTGGCATTTTTCACAGAACTAAAACAAAAAATTGCACAATTTGTATGGAAACACAAAAGACCCTGAATAGCCAAAGCAATCTTGAAAACGAAAAACGGAGCTGGAGGAATCAGGCTCCCTGACTTCAGACTATACTACAAAGCTACAGTAATCAAGTAATCAAGACAGTATGGTACTGGCACAAAAACAGAAAGATAGATCAATGGAATAGGATAGAAAGCCCAGAGATAAACCCACGCACATATGGTCACCTTATCTTTGATAAAGGTGGCAGGAATATACAGTGGAGAAAGGACAGCCTCTTCAATAAGTGGTGCTGGGAAAACTGGACAGGTACATGTAAAAGTATGAGATTAGATCACTCCCTAACACCATACACAAAAATAAGCTCAAAATGGATTAAAGACCTAAATGTAAGGCCAGAAACTATCAAACTCTTAGAGGAAAACATAGGCAGAACACTCTATGACATAAATCACAGCAAGATCCTTCTTGACCCATCTCCTAGAGTAATGGAGATAAAAACAAAAATAAACAAATGGGACCTAATGAAACTTCAAAGCTTTTGCACAGCAAAGGAAACCATAAACAAGACCAAAAGACAGCCCTCAGAATGGGAGAAAATATTTGCAAATGAATCAACTGACAAAGGATTAATCTCTAAAATTTACAGGCAGCTCATGCAGCTCAATAACAAAAAAATAAACAACCCAATCCAAAAATGGGCAGAAGACCTAAATAGACATTTCTCCAAAGAAGATATACAGACTGTCAACAAACACATGAAAGAATACTCAACATCATTAATCATTAGGGAAATGCAAATCAAAACTACAATGAGATAGCATCTCACACCAGTCAGAGTGGCCATCATTAAAAAATCTAGAAACAATAAATGATGGAGAGAGTGTGGAGAAAAGGGAACACTCTTGCACTGCTGGTGGGAATGTGAATTGGTACAGTCACTATGGAGAACAGTATGGAGGTTCCTTAAAAAACTAAAAATAGAACTACCATATGACCCAGCAATCCCACTACTGGGCATATACCCTGAGAAAACCATAATTCAAAAAAAGTCATGTACCAAAATGTTCATTGCAGCTCTATTTACAATAGCCTGGAGATGGAAACAACCTAAGTATCCATCATTGGATGAATGGATAAAGAAGATGTGGCACATATGTACAATGGAATATTACTCAGCCATGAAAAGCAATGAAATTGAGCTATTTGTAATGAGGTGGATGGACTTAGAGTCTGTCATACAGAGTGAAGTAAGTGAGAATGTGAAAGACAAATACCGTATGCTAACACATATATATGGAATCTAAGAAAAAAAAAGGGTCATGAAGAACCTAGGGGTAAGACGGGAATAAAGACACAGACCTACTAGAGAATGGACTTGAGGATATGGGGAGGGGGAAGGGTAAGCTGTGACGAAGTGAAGAGAGACATGGACATATATATACTAACAAACGTAAGGTAGATAGCCAGTGGGAAGCAGCCGCATGGCACAGGGAAACCGGCTCGGTTCTTTGTGGCTGTCTGGAGGGGTGGGATAGGGAGGGTGGGAGGGAGGGAGACAAAGAGGGAAGAGATATGGGAACATATATATATGTATAACTGACTCACTCTGTTATAAAGCAGAAACTAACACACCATTGTAAAGCAATTATACCCCAATAAAGATGTTAAAAATATATGTATAACTGATTCACTTTGTTATAAAGCAGAAACTAACACACCATTGTAAAGCAATTATACTCCAATAAAGATGTAAAAAAAAAAAAAATGGGAAACGCCATTTCCATGAAGAACCATAAATGGTCAATAAACATGTGAGGAAAATACTTTATCTCAAGCTAATTTAAAATAAATGCAAGTTAAAACAACATGAGGCATCATTTTTTAATCTACTGAATAACCAAAGAAAAATTTAAACCCTAAAACTTAAGCCAGCTAAGTTCCAGTGAAATATGGAAAAGTCCTGCATTAGAGGCGCAATGTCTGGGACCCCAGAATGTCCTTGAACTACGGCGACTTCGGCTCTCTGGTCACACGTTGCCTGACTTTGGGCAGATCCTATGGCTGTAAAATGGGCATAAATAGCTATCGCACAGAGCAGTTGGAAGGCTCAAACGATACGCAGAGGGAAAAGGAATATAAATGGTTGTTATTTTTTGTTCAGCCCGTCCATCCACGGGTTTACTTCTGTCGGCAGTACGGGAAATGCACAGGAATTACAGGAAAATGACACGACACAAATCAGGAGGAAGAAAGCCAGGGTAGGAGGTGGCCGAGGCGTGGAGCAGTGTCCTAGGGGAGGGCGACGTCCCCCTAAGATACCCGCCTCTAGAGGATCCTAAGCCTGGCGTCGACGCTCCGCGGGGCCTGCAGCCACCCCGGGAAGGCGGTGGGAGGGCCGGAGCCACGCTCTGATTGGCTGACTGTGAGCACGGGGCGGTGCGAATGGAGGTTCGGGGCGGGGGGCGCGCGAGCGGAAGGCCGCGAGCGCGCACTTCCGGTCTTTGTGGCTCGCAGCTGCAGGTCCGCGGCTCGTGCCCTGGCGGCTCCGGAGTTTCGCGGTGAGGGACACGGGCCCTGAGGCGGAGCGGGGGTGGGGAGGGCGCGGGGCCGGGGCGGTGGGCGCTGGATGGAGGAGCCCCGCTCCTCGGCCTGCCCATCTCCGGGCCTCGGCACCTTGTCCGGGCGGCGTCTCCGAGTGTCCTGGGGACGCATTGGAGACCAGCACTGCCCCTGCTTTCCAGCGGAAAGGGCAGTTATTCACCCACCGCCGTGATTTCGCAGATGCTGCGATTGAACCGGGATATAAAAATAGAAAGGCTAGTGCGTTAGGGCTGGTTAATAAACCACGGATTTGTAGGCTAAATATTCTGTTCTCTAAAGTTAACTGTAGTGTTAGTGTTCAGATGTACTGATCTGTCTTGCTAATTCAGGGGTACACCCTTCTATCAATATTCTCACATCCAAAGATCAGATCATGATCGGTCTGTATATTACAAAATTAAAAACAATTATTTGTTGCCATATTTCACTTTTTAAAATGTTTACTCCCCTATCTTCTAAGATTTTGAGAGTTGAGATTAACGTTTTTGCTTTTGTGTCTCTATAATATCTGACATTTGCGCACATGGTAAGCATTTAACAAATACTTCTTGGTTAATTCCTAGGTAGACTCATTTATTCACGAGCAAAAACCTTTGTATCTTAATACCTGGCTCGGGACAGAGCCCATAATAAGTGCCTCAGTGTTTGTTGAAGAAGCGCATTAAATACTAAATTTAATCAAATGGCAAACGTCCAACAATGTTTTTATTTAAATCAACTCATGTTTAATATGGATTTTTTAAAATGTTTTATTACTACCTAAATGAAAGGCTCCATTATGTGCCATAGGTTAAAGGTAACTAAAAATAAATGTTTAACAATCAGCATATCAAATCCTAGCTAGATACTGTTACCCATGGAAGTCTGAGGCCTATAGTTTATTTAAAAGGGAATTCTGTAAGTAACATCTTCAGAAGGTGTTAAAGACAGACTATTCTGCTTGATACAAACAGGATTGAAAGAGAATTGAAAAGGAAATTCCTCAATATGTGATTCATGTTAGTATTGCATTCTTTTGCCTCTAAAATAATTTCTCATAGCAGAAGTGTGGTAGGAATTCTACAAAATGAGAGACGTTGAATGAGGTGAGTGATTTTTAGTTTTGTCATTTGATTATTAGTTACAGTCTCAAACCTGATCCCTTTCCATATATTACTCCAATGACTGATCTTTATTATTGTAAGCTCTTAGAGGTTTTTTTCATTGCTGTAAGTTAACAGTGCTTTTATATCCTTCAGGAAAGAAGAGATTACTCAAAAGCAACTCTGAAGTAGAGGACCCAGTTGTAGTGAGCTTTTTGCTAAGCTGTTTCAGCCCAGAACGGCTATGGAATCCAGAGCAGTTTCAACCCCGGTACCTCAGAATTCTCAGGAACAAGAGCTAATACTAGTGAAAGTAGAAGAAAGCCTTTCTTGGGGTCAGAAACTTAAGCAGAATGGAAGTACCCGATCCTGCCAGGAATTGTTTCGCCAGCAGTTCAGAAAGTTTTGCTACCAGGAGACACCTGGGCCCCGGGAGGCTCTGGGCCGACTCCAGGAGCTTTGCTGTCAGTGGCTAAGGCCAGAGTTGCACACGAAGGAGCAGATCCTGGAGCTGCTGGTGCTGGAGCAGTTCCTGAGCATCCTGCCTGAGGAGCTGCAGATCTGGGTTCAGCAACACAGTCCAAAAAGTGGCGAGGAAGCTGTGACTCTGTTGGAGGATTTGGAGAGGGAATTTGATGATCCAGGGCAGCAGGTGAGAACAGGGAGATGTGATGTTTTGGGAAAAGGAATCTACTTCCTGGAGCATGTGGCGGCACTATAAGAATGGGGAGAGAATTTGTCTCTACTGAACCATAACCCTGAAGTGACTACCAGGGCCATACCTGTCTCTGTCCTTAAACAGTTCTTTTGTTCCTATCTGTCATCCGTGGAGATGTCTTCAGTGACCTCTTGGAGATTTTTACTAAGCATTTTCCTTAGGGATTTTCTCACAAAGAAATTTTCTCACAAATTTTACTGATTTCAGGTCCCAGCTAGTCCACAGGGACCAGCAGTGTCATGGACGGATTTGACATGTCTTGGAGCATCCCAGGAGTTAACAAACATTGAACTCCAGCCTTTAAAGACACAGCTGAAACCCTGGGAACCTTGCCTTTCCCCCAGAAGTGGTAAGAAATAGAAACTCATCTGGGAATTGTTATCAGGCCTCTGGTCTTGAGGGTAGAGAATGATATTTTACAGCATGCCCCATGTGAGCCTCACGTTTATTATTCTAGAGTGGAGGTGCTCACTCTTGAGCACCTTTGTATTCAGCAATCCTGATGAATTGCAGTCAGCCCTCCTTGTGTCAGTTTCCCCATCATTTATCCACTTATTCCTTCATTTCATGACTTAATAAGGTGCTAATACACGTCTGTATTGTGGTAGGCACTGGGTCTCTATCCTGAAAGAACTTTCAAGCCTAGATGGGGTGGTGGACAAGCAAAAAGGCAATTACAATACAGTATAGGGTAGTAAATTACAGAATAATTAATGTATATGGGGGCACATATAAAGGCACCCACCCTAACTCAACCTTAGAGGTCCAAGGTGTACTTCCTGGAGGGAGAGACATCTAAGCTTGGACTTGAACTCTGAGTAGAAGAAAGCCAGGTAGTTAGGTGAGAGGAGGAGATTCCCGAGCTAAAGGGAAAAACTGTTTCTCTGCTCACAACATTTCTGACACTGCATATGTGGGGTCTTCCCTCCCATTAAGCAATTTTGACACTAACCACCCAGAACCAGTGCAGACCCCACAGGTTAAGGTTTCAGTCCCAAGAGACTGCCTCCCACATCACATGCCAGTTGCATGTAATGAGTCCCCAGATTATCCACACTTTTGTCCAATTTGGCTGCAAATTGATGCTTCCACACCCCCTCCTCAGGTTTCATAATTTGCTATAATGGCTCACAGGACTCAGGGAAACACCTTACTTACCATTACCTGTTCATCATAAAGGACAGAAATGAACAGCCAGATGAAGAGGTCCATAGCACAAGGTCCAGAAGGGTCCTGAGCACAGGAGCTTCTGTCTCTCTGGAGTTTGGGGTTCACCACTCTCCTAGGTGCATTCACCATCCCTGAAGCTCTCTGAACCCCTTTGTTTAAGGTTTTTATGGAGGTTTTGTTAATTAAATCATTGGCCACTGGTGATTGATTAACTCAGTCTCCAGCCCCTCTCCCTGGAGGTCAGAGGATGGGTCCAAAAGTTCTAACACTCTAATCAACCAGCCCCCCTGCCCTCCAAGAGTCAACTCATTAGCATAACCTCCAGCACCTTCTCATCTCTACCACAGAGGAAATTTTCAGGGGTTTTAAAAGCTCTGTGCCAGGAACTGGGGATGAGGCCAAATCTATATTTCCCACATTACAGTATCACATGAGCAAAGTCCACAAAATCCTGAAGGTGAGAGATTACAATCCATTCCGGGAATTGCAGGTAGTTCAATTTAACTTGAAGAGAGAACTCCTAAGGGAGAGCTGGTTAGAGGGGAACTAGAGACGAAACTGGCACACAGGTTGTGAAAACGTGCCTGTCATCCTCATTTGTTTGTACAGTACAGTGGGGAACAGTTGAAGTGTTTTAGATGAGTGAGTGACATCAGATTTGTGTTTTAGGACTCAGTTGCAGAGCGGGAATGGATTTGAGGAAGGCAAGAGTAGAGTCTGGTTAGAGACAGTTGTAATCCAAGTGGCCACAGTGAATAAATCAAGATGTATTGTGGTGAGAGGTGGGAAAGATCACGGCTGACTCCTGTTCTTCTGCATTAACTTGAATTGCAGTCATTGTTAAACGTGGAGCATGTGGGAGAGGAGTTGAGGGTGATACTCAGTTTTCAGTCTTCAACAACTTGGTTAATGGCGGTGCTATTCTTATAAGTGGGAAAACATAAGGGAAAAAAATACATATGATGATGTGTTTAGTTTGGGACATTTTGGTGCTTGTCAAATATTTACAAGTAATATGGCCAATTAGCATTGGATACGAGAGTCTAGAGCTTCATAGAACTGGGATAGAATTGGGGATCTGGGGAGATATTAGCTTATAACATAAGTAGTGATTGAAGCTTAGGACATAGAGAGTTGGTGGAGTGAGGATATATGAGATCTCAGAACAGAACCCTGCGGAACTCGTGTTCGAGTGATTGACCTTGAATCTAAGAAGGAACAGCCACAGAAATCAGGCTAATGTATTTGGAAGAGAATGGCTCTGGAAGGAAGATGTGGTCCCCAGTGTCAATGCTACAGAGAGGCCAACTAAGCAAGATCCAGAAAGAAGCCATTGGATTTAGCAGCTATGAAGTTGATTTTGATGAGAGTAGTTTGGGGGGTGGGAGGTGCACAGGTATGGCAGAAACCAGATTACAGAATGGGAACGAGTACAGACAACCGTTTGAAGGTTTTTTTTCAGTGGGAGTGATGTTGCATGAGGGAGATGTGTAGGCAAGGAGCTTGATTTAAAAAGATGAGAAAGACTTGAATTTATTTAAATGCTGACAAACAGGAGTCAGCAGAGAAAGAGATTGAAAACAATAGGAAAGGAATAGTGGGTAACTGATCAACTGAAGTCTCAGAGGAACCAGGAAAGGATAAATTTCAAACTGTAGATGTAGGCCTTAGTATTAGAAAGGAGGAGGGACCCTATTTTGACCAGTTAAAGAAAAGATACATGCACATGGCTTTATCTTTGTAAGTAGAAGCATCTATTTTCTCTCACATAGAAAGGGAGTATTGCAAGTGGAGAAATAAAAAGTTGGTTTTTTGCTGTTATCATTTCAGATTGTGAGAACAATGGATCAGCAACAAAGAAGGACATTTCAGGAGAGAAATCGCAAAGACTTCCGCAGGAGCCTTCATTTGGAGGAATTAGTGAACATGAAAGCAGTTCAGAGTGGCAGCAAGGAAGTGCTACAGGGGAGAAATTAAGAAGATCCCCTTCCCAAGGGGGCAGTTTTAGTCAAGTAATCTTCACATACAAATCTCTAGGAAACAAAGACCATCCTGAGCCCCAGAGAAGCTTGATTCTAAATACAAACTCTATAACGTATCAGAAAGTTCCTACAGAAGAGAGACCTTACAGGTGTGATGTATGCGGGCACAGCTTCAAACAGCATTCTGCTCTAACACAACATCAGAGGATCCATACTGGAGAAAAGCCGTACAAATGTAGCCAGTGTGGGAAGGCCTTTAGTTTGAGGTCCTATCTTATTATTCATCAGAGAATTCATAGTGGTGAGAAAGCATATGAATGTAGTGAATGTGGGAAGGCCTTCAACCAGAGCTCAGCCCTCATTAGACATCGGAAAATCCATACTGGTGAGAAAGCTTGTAAATGTAATGAATGTGGCAAAGCATTCAGTCAAAGTTCATATCTCATTATCCATCAAAGAATTCACACTGGTGAGAAACCCTACGAGTGTAATGAGTGTGGGAAAACCTTTAGCCAAAGCTCAAAGCTTATTAGACACCAGCGAATTCATACAGGAGAAAGACCTTATGAATGTAATGAGTGTGGAAAAGCTTTCAGGCAGAGCTCAGAGCTGATAACCCATCAGAGAATACATAGTGGAGAGAAACCCTATGAATGTAGTGAGTGTGGAAAAGCCTTCAGTCTGAGCTCAAACCTCATCAGACACCAGAGAATTCACAGTGGAGAGGAACCTTATCAGTGTAATGAATGCGGCAAAACCTTCAAAAGGAGCTCAGCCCTTGTTCAACATCAGAGAATCCACTCTGGGGATGAGGCTTACATATGTAGTGAATGTGGGAAGGCTTTCAGGCACAGATCAGTCCTCATGCGCCATCAGAGAGTCCACACTGTAAAGTGACTTATGAATACTGTAAATACTTCAGTCAGGCTTCTATCTTTGGTAGTCAAAAAGGGTTTAATTTACTTTGGAGTAAGACTCCATGCAGGTGGTTGTACAGTACTAGGTCTCGAATCAATCTGACTTTATACAGCACTTGCCCGTGCTCATGCACATTGTCCCCTGAAAGCTTTTCCTGTGACTAATTAGAAGAGCAGGCAGAAGAATCATTGCTTCCACCTTTCTCTTACCAGTAAGAACACTCAGGAACTGCGAAAGATGGGACTATAACATTGAAACATCATTTTCCATGAGAATGTCACAAAGGGCACAGCAACTCTTGTCACTGCATCTAATTGTCAGTGGGCCAGATTTGGAGGATGGTGTGGAGAGTATGAGGGACATTTTGTCTCAGGAATGCAAAAATTTTACTGACCAGTTAAGAACAGTGGCAGGGCAGCAAGATATGGGGAAACAGTTTCATCGATGACTTACTGAGCCCACGGCAGACCAGAAGTGAGATAGTGAAAAGGAAATACAAATTAAGTTATCCAGCAGTTATTTTTTGAGTGGCTGCTTTGTGCTAGGCACTAGGGACACAGTGGAAAATCAGACCATACCTTCAGTTTCACGGACAACACAAACAGGCAGTGACACTGTGGTACCATCAGAGCTGTGTGGTGTTAAGGAGTACCTGGCCCAACCTTGGATCAGGGAAGGCTTCTGAGAAAAATTATCTGAAGGATGAGTGGCCAGGAAGGTAGGCTGGCCAGGAAGAAAGTCTGGCACATCTGAGGAAAGGAAAAGGCCATTTTGCCTGGAGTATTCCTTTTGAGTTCCTTTTGAAGTGGATTCCTGTCTGTAGGAAAAGCATGCATGTGGCCAGAATCTCTGTTTACTATAGTGCCTATAGTGAAACATGAGCCAGTGGAGAAATTTGTTAATAGACAAAACCTGGAGTCCTTGGAGCATGGGGTGGTGAGGAGCTTTGTCTTGGTTTGTATGACCCCAGGGTAAGGGTTAAAACGTAGTTTCCTTGTCCAACCTGGAGGCTAGGCCTTCCATGTGGGTGAGGGCAGGGGGCCAGAAAGAGCCCAGTTTAGAAGTTAAAAGAGTCTTAGAGTTCCAGATCTCACCCTCGCAGACATAAGGACTCCTTTGGTTCTTAAGACGTGACCAGCGCTGCTGTCGGCTTCCTCCTAACTCCACATGCTCCGGGTCGGAAGCCGCTACGGCTGCCATATCATTTGTTTCTGGGTCTGTACTCCCACAGTTCCTAGTGCACACCCCTAGGCTCAGGCACTAAAAACTTCATTGCTGGGTCTGTTACTCTCCAGGCGCCTCACATGTGTTCAGTTTTGTCATATCAGCAGTATTTCACAGTCTTCTGAATTTTGTTAAAGACTATGCTAAAGGGAAATAACAGTAACAGTCAGGGTCCATCCAGAGAGACTGCCCTCTTCTGAGGGACCCAGCAGGAAAAGGATCCCTAGACTGGTGCTTCTCAGTGCAATGCAGAAAGGTGTATAGGTTAGCAACAGAAAGACATGTCATTTAAAATACCTAATAGGTCAGAGTTACAACACACCTTACCAAAAATTCAAGCCTTTGGGAATCTGGAGTCCTGCACGTAGGAAGAGTTTTCATGAGGATAAATAGAGAAGTAATGCTTCTATTGGGGCATGAGCATGTACTAACCAGTAAGAATGGCAGGAGGACTAGATGCCCATGCTTGGAGAGAGAATGTGAGAAAAGAAAGGGCTAGGTTAAATAATAAAATAGCGTGGTAAAGCTATTCAACTCATATTCCTTTTCCACAGAGGAAGATCCAATCAAACTGAAAAGGGCAGAACAAATGTTAAGTAGGAATTGATACAACATATATTACAAAAGGCAAATATTCTTTATATAGAGGGTTCTTACATATATTGGTAAGAAACATAATACGTACTTGCAAAGGGCTTTGTGTATATGTATTACTTCTCAGCCCATATTTTGCAGATGAAGAAATGAAGGCTTGAGGTCATGGCTTACTCAAGGTCATGTAGCTACAAAGTGCTGAGCTCAGACTTTAAACCCAGGCAGTAGGAATCCAGAACGCGTCTGGGGAGCCACTTCTCTCTACTATCTCCCCATGAAAAAGTCCCAGTAGAAAAAAGTAGTACTTAAATAGGCAAATCACAAAAGAATAAATGCCAATGGACAGTAAATATTAGCCTTGCTAGAATTAAAAATGTATATTAAAGCAAGAGTTGAGGTGGCGCTTTTTTTCCCTCATAAAACTTAACAAAGATTCAGGGAAATTGGGGCTCTAATGCTGCTGGTGAGATGTGAATAGATGCTGTCTGTGGCAATCAATACCAGAAGCCTTAAACATTGCCTTTTGACTTTAAAATTCTACCTGGAAATGTATGCTTCAGAAACCATCATGAATGTATACAAAGTCTTAAAAGCTGTTAAAAGTGATGTTGATTAATATTAAATAAGAAAACGTTCATATCTTAAGTAAAAATATAAGATGATATGTACAATACGATTTGTGTAAAAATATATTTATGCATTAAAAATATTGGAAATATATATGATCTCAATGCTATACTGGTTATATCTGAGTAATAAGATTATAGGAGATTTAATTTTTTTGTGTGTTTGTGTCTTCCAATTTTTTCTACAATAAATATCTAAAATTTCTAAAGTTAGAGAAAAAAAGGTTTAAAGGGAATGGAAGCCCAGGATAGCTGAGAAATTATCAAGAAAAGCATGTGCTTTCTATGGCATCTTTGTGCCTTCCAAGTCCTAAGCAGTTAGCTAACTCGTTAACTGATCTGTGACTTCCTAACTGGTAAATGACAATGGCAGATGTACTCATCTGACTAGTGTACAAAAAAAAAGTGCAAGTTATAAACCTCTGTGCAAATATAAGTTATTTGCATGAAAGTGATTATAGTTGAGAAAAGCAGTAGCCTTGAAGTGAAGACTTCTGTTCTCATTAGTGCTTCTCCGTGAGTTCTGCAGCCATAAGCAAGTCACCTAACAACTCTGGACCCTCAGTTTAAGAGAGCTGAAGTAGGGCTTCCCTGGTGGCGCAGTGGTTGAGAGTCCGCCTGCCGATGCAGGGGACACGGGTTCGTGCCACGGTCCAGGAGGATCCCACATGCCACGGAGCGGCTGGGCCCGTGAGCCATGGCCGCTGAGCCTGCGCGTCCGGAGCCTGTGCTCCGCAACGGGAAAGGCCGCAGCAGTGAGAGGCCCGCGTACCGCAAAAAAAAAAAAAAAAAAAAAAAAAGAGAGAGCTGAAGTAGGTGATCGCTTACAGTTAAAGCTTCAACGGTCTACATGAAACAGGGGGCACCAAGTAGGTGGATGGATGTCAAAGGTAATTGTTTTTTCCTTCACCAGAGTTGCCTGAGGAAAAGTAATCCATCCCTTTCCTTTCTGCTCAGAGCCCTCATTTCTCTTGGTGTAGAGGCAGTCCACTATTTACCTTAAATGGGTCCTGCGCAGATTCATGGATTTAAAAAGATGTGGAATTTAGGCAAAGTGCTTAATACCAGTTTCCTATCTCTCCACTCCTGCCTCCTCACTTCCACAGGCTGCAGTTAACACTGTCCAGATGAGAGGATTAGAAATTTAAACAAGTCTGACCTTGGTCTCTCCAAGCCCCGCTGTGAACAACTTTGCTTCTTTTGCCCCGTAAAGTGAATCCTCAGAGCAAGGAGGATTGCCAATCATTTCCACGCAGAAGGAACTGACCTGAAGAGCATTTCTGCAAAGTCAAGAGGAAGGGTGAGCGGGGTAGGCAGACCTATCCCCTGCTCTCTGATGGCCCAAAACCAGATGTTGCTGCTCAGTAACTTTATCGTTCACAGCTCTCTTGTTGGCAGGCACAAATGATGATAGATCTAAAGGGTCATGGGGTGTCCCTGCACATGTGTGTCTATTGAGGACCTGCTGAAAGGGGAGGGGAAAGCTGTGGCGTTCTCCCAGGCTCTTGCTCCCAAGGTGGGGAAGCGTCCTGATTCTTGTGGACGATGCGTCTGTTTGTAGAGGCTACTTGCTCTCATTCCCATGTTCTTTCAACCACAGTGCAGCTCCAGATGTCCCCTCAATTTTGTGACTTCACCTGGTGAACTGCAGCCCTAGGGACTAGGTATCGTTTCCAGACATGTTTTGGCCCAGGAATCAAAGCTAAGACCACCAATTCCCTGCCTTCTTCCCACAACTCCTTTCCCCATTCTCCCAGCACATCTCCATTCGTGTTACGGTGCTCCCTATTACTGAATGATTAATTTCAAAGCAAAACTTAAAACTCAAATTTTATTACAAGACATCTTGCATGACATTCTAATACTAAATAGTTAAAGTATAAACAATGAGGTCCTACTGTATAGCACAGGGAACTATATTCAATATCCTGAGATAAATCATAATGGAAAAGAATATTAAAAAAGAATGTGTATATATATGTGTGTGTGTGTGTATAACTGAATCACTTTGCTGTACAGCAGAAATTAACGTCACATTGTAGATCAACTATACTTCAAAAAAAATTTTTTTTTTTTTTTTTTTTTTTTTTTTCTTGCGTTATGCGGGCCTCTCACTGTTGCGGCCTCTCCCATTTGCGGAGCACAGGCTCCGGACGCGCAGGCTCAGCGGCCATGGCTCACGGGCCCAGCCGCTCCGTGGCACGTGGGATCCTCCCGAAACGGGGCACGAACCCGCGTCTCCTGCATCGGCAGGCGGACTCTCAAGCACTGCGCCACCAGGGAAGCCCCAAAAAAATTTTTTAAATAAACAGTTGAAGTATATAATCAAAAGTATAAGTGTTAAAATCAGTTACTAAAAATGATTTACCAAACAAGATTTTCACCAAAAAAAGTACACATATATTAGGGTTGGACTGCGCCACAGGGAAGCCCCAAAAAAATTTTTTAAATAAACAGTTGAAGTATATAATCAAAAGTATAAGTGTTAAAATCAGTTACTAAAAATGATTTACCAAACAAGATTTTCACCAAAAAAAGTACACATATATTAGGGTT